GTGTGTAAGGGGTGGCTGTCTGTAATGGTGGGGGGGGAGGAGGGTATGTCCGTAATGTTCTCTTTCTCCGTTGCTAACTGTCTGTAATGGGATGAGGAGAGGGGGAGCCGCCAAATCTCGAACTGAAAACTTACACTCACTATTTCCTTAGAAAATATACATGAGTTCCACAAAACAGACTTTTGGTAGCAATCAGTTTTCAATATCATTCCTGTTCGTGGTTCTCGGAAGACACTAATTACTCTGTTATGAATAAGGGTGTCAATTTATATTTACTTTTCATTTAATTTATGCGTAAATTAAATGATACATAATTTATATTTATTATAAAGTAAACGGTAAACGACACCCCTACTATTTGATAGGTTTTGTTTTTTGCATGTTACAGAGGTTTCATGTAACTTCCATAAGGTTTTTTGATACGCATGGAATCTGCCTCTTGAAGTCCTGTGAAGTCTTGCGAAGTCTTGTGAAGTCTTGTGAAGTCTTGTGAAGTTTCGTGAAGTTTTGTGAAGTCTTGCGAAGTTTTATGAAGTCTTGTGAAGTCTTATGAAGTCTTATGAAATCTTATAAAGTCTCAAGAAGTCCTACAAAGTCTCTGAAGTCTCATGAAGTCCGTGAAGTCTCATGAAGTCCGTGAAGTCTCACGAAGTCTGTGAAGTCTAACGAAGTCTTTGGAAGTCTTTTGAAGTCCCATGAAGTCCCATGAAGTCATACGAAGTCTTATGAAGTCTTGCGAAGTCATTTGAAGTCCTATGAAGTCTTCAGAAGTCTTTAGAAGTCTTTTGAAGTCTTGTGAAAATATGAAGTCACTGCGGCTGAAGTCTGTTGAAGTCTGTTGAAGTCTTTTGAAGTCTTGAAGTCTTGAAGTCCGCTGTTTCCCCCTTGTACTAATCATTCATCAAATATTGGAAAAGCAAATAACTTGTTTTCGTACTAAACTAAAACATGATTAGATTTCACCTTTCAACAAATTGATGTCAATGGAAAGAAATTCGAGCATGCCATTAACAATCAAACAATCTCTTCATAGAAAACTGTTTCTCATGATTTTCTTGTTGATTCCAAGCAAGGAGAGAATATGAGAAGAAAAATATGACGAGTCTATATTCGAAAGTCAAATATACAGTAGTAATAAGATTTCAATTTATAATTTTCTGTTCTTTTGAATGCCCAACAGCAACAATTGATTATGAATGTATGTAACAACTGCTCTAAAGAAAGACAGCATTGTCTTTGTCATTCAAATAGACCTGCATCGTACATACACAATAATTGATTGAGTGTAGCAAGCACTTTAAATTGGTTCGTTCTAGGCATCTATAACAGAAGTCGTACATCCAAAACTATCCCTCAATCGATCTGACAAATTTTTTGATTGTTTATTTTATCGAAAAACAAAAATCAATGGTGATCATTCGAAAATATCTTCTTACCATTTTTCTTTTCATGATCCAATTCACATTTTATTTTCTCTTTGGTTTTCGTGCTCGATATACCTATGCTCCGGTCTCTTCTATCGACAATCTAACATTGTCTCAAGTGAGCATTGTTGAACCACCACGTGGTATTGTCGAATATTACTATGCAATGTTTACTGATATTCATGTAATGATGTTTGTCTGTTTTATCTTTCTAATGACTTTCTTGTATCTTTACTCTTATTCAGCAATAGAATTCAATTTCCTTCTTTGCGCATTTATATTTGAATGGGCTTTAGTCATGTGTGGTTATTTTTTCGATTGGAAAAGAATCGAAAAACAATTTGTACTCGATATCACAAGTTTAATAACAGCTGATTTTGTTTCTGCCAGTATATTGATTTCGATGGGCGCAGTATTGGGAAAAGTCAATGCATTTCAATTAATTCTTATAGCATTTTGTGAAGTACCGGTACAAGTTGTCAACGAATGGATAGGCTCGAACTTTTTTGTATCAATGACGGAGGTAAATCAGTGTTTGTTCATGTATTCGGTGAGTCGAGAAGACGGTTTACTACGGATATGTTAGCATAAAATGATGTCCGAACTGTGATTTTAGGTGCCTATTTTGGTCTAGCCGTTATGTTTGTACTTTTCCGCTCGAATATGCGAGATTCCGCTCATGAAAAGTCTGGTTATACATCGGACATTATTTCAATATGACACATGTGGTGTTCACTATTTACACGGAATATCAGGTTTTATGGCTAGTATAGCAGACATCATTGTAGCTTTGACTTCGGACCGATCAGGTTTTCAAGACCATTTAACTAATTTATGTTTCACGGATGGCCTACAACCTTCAAGTAATATTCAAGCAGCCTATCAAGCAGCTGCATTTGAACTCACGTTGACTATAGCTATTGTCAGTGGACTTTTTACTGGAATACTATTACGGTTGTCTATCTTTGTCCAGAAGTCACGATATTTCGATGATGAAGCCAATTGGTATATACCTGAAGAAGCGGTAACTTACTATATAGAATACAAAATACCATATTCTGCGTAAGAAATAGGGGTTAGTGGGGATCGGCGTGTCACTGATCCGGTGACACTGGTGGTCAGTATATCGACGCTGCGCAACTCTACCCAAACCATCTGCTTAAAAGTTACACTCACTAATTTCTTTGAAAATCTATCCGAGTTCTACAAAATTTTCCTCTAGTCCTTATATTAATAAAATCATCTACATCTGAATAATCTTACCTATTCTAGGCTACGATTTTCGACATTTTTTTCGGCATAAGCATCCTTAGATTGTTTCATGATTCGATAGTTTCTGTTTTGATGCTTTTTCGCCCTTTTTATTATTCGATACTTTTTGTTTCGATCTTTTCTGCATTACTCAAACTAATCTTCAGATTGGACCTTTATAATCGATATTTTTCAGAGTGTGATATTACAAGATATTTGTCTTAATAATAGTACAATTTCACTACATAAAACGACGCTTTTTTTACTCAAGATTTGAGTCTAAATATTGATTTCACTTGTTTGTAAAATATTCATTTTTTATATGAAAAGAACGCAAAAAGGTATTGTGATGCGTGAAAAGAGAATGTATTTGAATGCATCAAAACAAACTGATTGAAACTGTGTTTCTAAATGAAATTTTAAATAAAAAGCATATGTTGAAAATAAAAGCACTGTGCTTTACCGCTTGGTAAATAAAAAGTGATGCATCCAGACGCAAAAATAACGATATTTGTCAAAAAGTTTGTGTTGAACGCTGTTTTGCTGTTTTTTCTTCTGGCTCTCCGTAAAAAAGTCTGTTATTCCCTTCCTGTTCGATCTATGAACATGATAATTATTTAATTTGCTCTCATTATCTACTTTTGTATTTTGTTCAAATCTACAATAATATTTATGCAGTAAAAGCTGCACATAGTAAGCAGGCGAGTGACTCGCCAAATTTCGTACCGCCTGATACTCACTTCGCCTTTAAATTCTTGACTTGCCTCTCCGTGCAACGAGACGAGGCGGTGTAAGTCGTCGAGTTTTGGATTCCTGTTCGAGATTCGAATAATTTCAGTTCGATGATTGATCATGTGAAGCATAGAAAAAGTATTTCCCCTTTACTTAAATAAAAAAAACACATTTGGGACACAGAAGAGACTAGAAAAACAACTGCACTGTATCCAAAGTTAAGTGTTTTGATGAGTTCATGTGACAAAGCCAAAACCAAACCCAAACCTCCAACCGTTTGGGTTTGGTGCATGCCTATTCGCAATCCAATATCAACTTCAATTGTTATTATAATGGTCATTTTCCTATCTAGCGGTACTCCAAACGGATGTTCTATTATGCATAATTGCCAAGTTACACGGCGAAAATTCATATTCTCGAGAAACATTTACTGAAAGAGTTCTAAGTTGAATAACTCAATGGAAAGCATGTTGCTTTCTCGAAAAGCATATGGTGCGTATTGGTAAATTATTCGAACCAAGACAACTGATTTTCGAAAACTCTACCGTTTTCAATACTGAATAAGCTCATTTAGTGGTAAAGTTCTCACTAAATGAACGCTTTCGGATATTTTCATCAAATTTGTTTTTGCTAAAAACATTCGACTCACTCTAAATATTGATAAATGAAGCAGGAACATTATCGATATCGTTTCAGAAAACCTTTATCTATTGTCAATCAACGCAGAACAGATTTCGATTATTATGTGAGGAACATCGCCTCGATTTTTATTAGTGTTCTGAGTAGATTTTTCAGTAAAAGAAATTCGAATTCATAGCTTCATTTGAAAACAATGGACCCAAATTTTTCACTGGAATTATGAAAATCAAAATCAAAGTTTTTTCCACATTAATACAGACCAGTCCTATATCAGACTTACAAAAGTTCTGTGGAATGAAGTAGTTTTCATATCGTGCTCTCACAATGGTCTGCATAATAGAATCTTAAAAGAAAATATTTTTTCCAAACTTGTAACGATACGCATATCCAATTTCTTGATGTAAAGTTGTAGCAAATGACTTAATCAGTGGTATGAGCTCAAACTTTCTATCATGAAGCACCTTGAAGCACTATCAGATCTTTTTGTTTTTGCTTTGGTACGAATTGTATATTAGAAGTTTACAACTCTCGACAGTTCCAGGAGACGCTTACAACATCAACATCACTTTGTCGTGTCCTGATTAGGAAAATCAACAATGAGAAGCATGATCTAGAGAACTTTTTATTCTACTAAAAGAGAACCACATGAAATCAAAAACAAGAGTAATTGCTTGATACTACTTGAATCTTGTGTTTACCTACGATTTCAACTCATTTAAAAAAAAACGCTTTTAAAATAGTGCAGTGATCTTCAGGAAAACAATATAAAAAAATTGGCAATATGTTAAAAAAGAAAACTCTCGAATTTGATCCCAAGATAAATAGAGTTTGATGAAGAACAGGACGAAAACATACTGACAAACATAAATAGTCTCACAGATTCTTCGCAACAGTTCATATGTCTTGGTATGATTATTTTCTATCAATCCGTTTGAAAGAGATCGAACCACAATGTTTTGAATCATGAAATCATCTTCATGACTCATGTTAATGTTTTTGATAGTTTTGATTATTGCTAATCGTGTCAATGGCTCGACATGTAAATGTGAATGCTGTCGTGATGCATTTTGTTCGCCTACACATGTGGGCAACATTCAAGTATCGGATTGCTTCACTTGTGTGTCTTCATTCTGTACTTCAATCTACCCTTCCGTATGTGTAGCAGTCAATGGAGGTATTAAGAGTTCGTGTACGACCGTTAGTAACGCTGCTCTTCGGTTCGAGTCGAAAAATTCGGTTATCACTACCATGATTATTGGCTTGATGGCATTGATTTATTCAATAATTGAAAGATGAGCTACCAAAACGGCATGTCGTTTTCAAATGATTTGGATAGACTGACATAAACACGATGTTTTTTTTTCTTTTGGCAAAGGTAATATACGCTCTTTGCAACTGGTAAATTATTCATACAGACGAAATGACAGTTGCTTACTGTACATACTTTTCTTTTTATTGCAAAATACAAGTTGAATATGAATCAGATTTAAATAGTATGACATATTGTGTTAGTTGATGTTTCTCGAGTTTTCATGCATGATAAGGTTCATTTTTTTGAGATAAAATACATTTAAAATGATTTCGAACTGTATGATAGGTATTGAGTTATATTTTTTAGCTAATCTTCATCTACATATGGTTAAGATTACTTATCTGTTTTTAAAATTTAAACGGATGATACGCAGTGGTTTTTCTTGACTTAATTCGTTTGTTGTTATATTTGGGTTTTCATTGAAAAGTACATTGGCTTTTGTTGTGTGATGTCGCAGAGTGTATGGAGTTTTTGGAACATGAATTTCAGTGACGACATTGCCTAAAACTACATTCAACATCCATAACGAAAAAAAACTACGTTCTTTGTTTTATTCACAAAAAAATCTTAAAAAGTGATGTCTTCTCTTCGAATAATATCTTCCAACACTGGAGAATTATCCATGGTCTATACTGAATGCTGATTTTCATCGAATTCCTATACTTGTGACCGAAACATCGAATGAGTGTGAATAGTGAGAATAAATAATAATAAATGTCACCTAATAGTCTATCGACTATAATTGAAATGTTTTTGAATCATGACAGAGGTTTATCTGTTGAGAAAAATTTAGATTCAGCGAGAAGTCATAGAAATAATAACGGAATAGAAGTCTCTTTCATATCATCAATATCGAACTAAGTAGAGCGATAGATAATCGAAGTTTCACCGGTAAAGTAATACATTTCATTTGAAATAGAATCAAGCAACGTTGATCATCACACTTCTCAGAATAAAAGATATGCGTATGAATCATTTGGAAACTCGCCGATGATGAGATTTGCTTGAGTCTATGCTTGAAACTGTGGATAGACAGAAGAATCACAGTCACAATCACATCTTCAAACTGTCGCTAAGTTATTCAGTAATCGAAAGTATTCTACAACTTCTTCGAATAGAGTGTTTTCAGTGACAACTGATAAGTTCATCAATAACTTGATGAGCTTTGATAAAGTTTACACAATAAATAGTTATAATATAATACTAAAAACTGAAAGATTAACTGGCTCAAAAAAATGATTCTGTTCTCGAGCTATCACATTCATAGTGACTGTATAGACTTGTGATTATAACATCGTTCTAACTTAAACGATTCTGGTATTGATAAAACCCCTCCATTGCAACTTACTGGAAATTGCATACACACGAATTTTCAGGCATCTAACTGTCATATGGACTGTGATACGTTAGGTATGAGTAGCCTTCTGGCTAATAATGTGTTTATAAGAAAGATATTCTGTCGGCTTTGATGATATTATGTAAGTAGAGAAGGTCCGTATCTAATACTCTCAGTTGCTGTAGAGACGCTTGTGAGATTTGCGCATCACACTAATGTCCTACAAAATATCAACACATTTTGAAAAAAAAACAGTTCTAAATGTACTCAATGCTATAAAAATATTGTGCCAAGCATGACTCATGACAGTCTCTCAAAATTGCTGAGAAGCAAATATTTTTACATTGAATTATATAATACTGGTCATTTATGCATGTGCATAAAGCATATTTTACAATTGCTGTCAACAATCACCGTAAGGAGCTATTGTTTTCCGTTCTGATTGATTGGTATAAGATCATGTTCGAGCAAACATGATTGATCTTAGAATCTAGATTGTTTTCAGTTCATATTCATCTACGAACTATCTCGAGAAAAAAGAAAATAATAGAATTTTGAATTGTATTTCAGATATACATTACCATATTGTGAAACGTTTTGATAATTATATGTTACTGAACTTGAACGTATGATTTCTACTTCGGTCTCTGTAAAATATCGAGTCGTCAAATTTTAGGAGTCGTAATACACATGAACCAAGAATTTCCTATTATGCTCGTCTATTCTCTTTAGTCTCAAAACCCTTCTGGAAATCAATGATAACAGTTTTCAAATCAATTTTTGACTTTCTTCGCTTTCAAGTAATAACACGGATGTTGTAAGAATTATGATAGAGTATGATAATCCCAATAATTATTCTACGCACAGGTAGAATGTTATGGAACGTAATAGATTTTAATATGAAAAAAGCCGATAGATTTAGTATTTTGTGAACTACAGATGACTAGCAAAGCTGTTTAGAAGGTTAAAGTTCAAATAATTAAAACCGAATCAACAACTTTTATTTTTAACAATTTTAGATGTTGATGAAGTCCTATTTTATATATATATATATATTCATGTTTTTTGACATTCGAAATTTGAATGAAATATTTCAAGATAATTTTACATAGAATTGAAAGATAAATCTTTTGAAATGAAATGAAATACACACGACATCATCTACTTTCAATAGTATATCCATTATACAGGATCGCTAAAATAAATATCGCACACATGTATATTGTTTCAAAAATACAATTGACAAACGTCTGATATATGAAAGTAATATTGGTGCCATTTCTTCCGATTATTTATCTATAAATAAGACCATGTTTACCTACAAAAATATTGCTGAAGACGTAAAAGAAAATGGTAAGACTTTTGAATAACCACCTCATTCGTTTTACGTTAGTGAGAACAGCAATGGCATATCACAATTGAAAATGCTCGTCGTCGTAAGACTCTTGAGTATACTACGTAAATCATTAGACTAGTAGGGTGGGTGTGAGTATGAGTGTGGGTGTGGGTGTAGGCATCTTCTCTTCTCACACTCACAGCCACACCCACCCTCGTACTCTCAACTGTGCTAAAGCACATCTTGTTCCTAACTATATGCATCTGACACAATACATACGATGCAAATATTAACCCAACGGGTATTTGTAAATTAGATGTCGCAGAGAATGAACTTTGCGAGAAAGAAATGGTTGAAAAACTCAATACACTTCAAGAATGGTCAGCATCGATGAATTATTGCTGACATTCAATTGGCGAGCTTTCACTTCGGCAGAAATTATGTCATTTTTTTCAAGAAAATTTCCAAATCGATAAACAACGCTGACACCTGATAGAATGATTATCACAGGTGGAGCGTCTAGCGGATTTCTTGTTTATAGTTATCTTTTAACCGACCCAAACGATGCTATACTCATCCCATCACCATATTATACCATGATTGTTCATCATATTTCAGTATTTACTGAAAATCAAAGCGTTCGTTGTTCATTACTTGAACAAGATACAGGCAAATTTTATTTTTCCGTCGAAATTTTCGAACGTGAATATAACGAAGCTCTTGCCAATGGTCTTCGGTCACGAATGATTATTTTCATCAATCTACATAATCCTCTCGGTGATGTCTATGATGAAATGATGATTCAACCAGTGCTTGAATTCGCTGCTAAGAAACAATTACATGTCGTCATTGACGAAATCTATTCACTCAGTCTATTTGCCAATGAAAAACTATTTGAATCCGTGCTTAATTTTTCCATAGTCGATTCAGAACGTACACATGTTCTTTGGTCGTTTAGTAAAGATTTTACATTGAGCGGTGCTCATGTTGGTATTATGTATGTAGGCACATCTGAATTGTGTTCCGTTGCCAGTGAATTCAATTTTCTCTTGACACCATCACGCCATATTCAAGCAATTTTAACATCACTGCTGGCCGATCGAACGTGGCTTCGTTCATACATCGAGCTTAATCGTTTGTGACTTACTCAACAATACAAGCAAGTGAAATTTGAATTAGAATCAATAGGAGCTCGTGTTCGTGAAGGTCATGCAGTTTTTTTTTACTTGGGTCGACTTTCGAGTTTTTATGAGAGAAGTAACATTCGATGAAGAAATCTGTCTACTTGATCATCTTTTCGAATGTGGTGTATTTGTTATGAGTGGTTACAATTTTGGTTGTTCACAACCGGGTTGGTTTCGTTTGGTATTCAAAGGCAAAGACTCGTTGTTGACTGAAGGACTAAAGCTAATCAAAATAGCATTAAGTCAGTTTGCCGACATATAATGAATTTTTTCATGCTTGTTTTTTTTTTCTTAGTTATTTTAAAATCGAATAAATCACGACAAGATATATTTTAGAGTCTAATCTTGCAGAAGTGCTGAATATTGTAGTATAGCGACAGATCTGACGGACAAGATATTCGTAGTTATCGACACATATGCTTATTTTGCTGTTTCCCATGTCTAGAACATGTTTGCTTTCCATTGAATCCAAAATTATAGTGCATATCATAAAACGGAGATCACTCACGAATAGGAATGACGTGTTAACATCAAGCTAAGAAAAATACTAATATTTCCACATTTACGTTAATTCGGTATTGCTTTTAACGGTTAGCAGTGGAAGGATCAAAAGGAAAAATGTCGAAAAAGAAAAATAACGGAAAAACTATAAAAAGGGAAATATCTTAGAAAAAAAGAAATGTTGAAAAAGTCATGTCTCTGGTAAATAATGATTGTTTTCTCAATAATATAGCATCTTAAACATTAGCAACAGTAAATAAAATATACAATAGGGAAATATTGAAACATTGTCCAATGCTATATTACAGAATTCACAATGATTGTCCTGGCTACAGTTTGCTGATCATTATTGAATAAATACATTTTCAAACCCAACAAAGTAATAACAGCAACAAAATGTTGGACGGGTACGCGCATTTAATTCTCTATGAACATTAATATGAACAATCAATGATCATCAGCAAAATAAAATATATCCTTTTAACTTAGGCTATCGATATTTTTCCTTTCAGCCTTTCTATCTCGCTCCGTTTTAACTCTAATGCATATTTTTCCTCC